CCCCCCCCCCCCCCCCCCCCCCACCAATCTTGGGAGAGACCTTCCATGTGTAACTCACTTAGCCCGTTGCTCCAATGTTGATGCTTGGCTTGCCCATCTCTTCTCACATGGTCTCAACATGCATTAAGTGTTTAGGAACTTGAGATAACTTCATTTTGAACCTTCCTCGGCTCCTTTGACCATTTAGTAAGAGCTTCAAGGATCCAAACCTTCTTTTGAAGCGACCATTCTTTCTTTTTTACTTTCATTTTAACCTTTCTTTTTCATTATAGAATCATGATTTGATTGAATGTTTTCACTAATCTACTTGCAAACTTATATGAAAGTTTTTTTTTCTTATTTTCTCTTTTTTTTCATAAAACAATGCTCATGGAATTTGATATTTTGATAATTTTTTCTTTAAACTAGTATCAAGTACCGCATGAACTATTTGTTATTAAGTTTTTTAATGACTTTGATGTGTTGAAATCTTAGAAATGTTGTGTGATTAAACAAATAAATAAAACTATTTATGCTTATCAATTTTTTTATGACACTGAGTTGTGGCTTCCAAAATGTTAACTGAACTTTTTCTTATTTTTCATCAATTCGTTCAGACAAATTGATCACTATACTTAAGTTCGCTTTGGTTGGGTCCATTGTCTTGATGGTTTATGCTGTTAATGATCCTCCTACCCCTTTGATGGAATATCCTCATTTATCTCTTTAGGTTTGTTCCAAAAATTTAATGACAAGTTTAGATCTACCAAAGAGGAAAGTGGCTATTTTTTCTTTTGTTGTTAGCTACTCGGCATTAATCACTTCTTCAATTGATGATATTATAATAAAAAAATATTCCTTTTTTGTTGAAACACCCCAGTCTTTTCCCATTTGTGATACAAAGCGATGATTATTCGTTATGACATTTTTTTCCTAATTTGAACATTCTAAGTGTCAACTCTTTGGTGGTTAAATGATTTGATATTCTCTATACTTGAAAGGCCAAAATTAAATGAAAATCTATCGTCACTCACCTATTTTCAGTAGGTGTCAAGCTAGTCGATCCAAATAAATTTTTTATTTTATTTTATTTCTGTGCTATTGTATCGCTTGTTTTGCTCTTGTATTTCCTGTATGCCCTTCATGTACTCATTTCATTATTTTGTTAGTATATATCATTCTTTTTAAAATAATCATGAAGATTTTTTTTCAATCTAATAGTTTTTCATTTTCTTTTTGCATTTTATTGTTTATATTCCAAAAATTTTGTGCTATACTTAAAATAGCATGTGCCGCACCTTGCACTATGTGCTATACCTTCTTGAGGACCTGTGTTGTGGTGCACTACTTTCCATCAACAATTATGCTTGTTAGTATATTTGTTTCAATCATAAGCAATTCGAGGGATTGTTGACAAATGCACATGTACTTGCAAATTGGCAATAAAACTAATTGATTTTCTGTCTGCAATAATACAAATGACCTGTATTTTGCGTATGTTGATGAGTAGGTTTTACCTTTTATCAAATTCTTGTCAGTAGAGGTTTAGATCATAATTTGGTATTTTGATTATAATCCTTGTTTTTTTTTTGTTTTTTTCCCTGGCAATTAGTGTCGCACTCTGCAATTTTTCTAAAGTCTTTAGCTTAAATATATAAAATGTCTTATTTTTTCTTTTGTACTGATCTAAGTTGGAGGCGGGCCAAGTCAAGTTGCTGTCTAAACTTGAAGAGGAGGAGCAAGCAAAAGCTGCCTTAATGGGTAGGATTCAACGCCTGACTAAGTTGATACTAGTGTCTACAAAAAGTTCACTGCCTTCTAAAGTTACCGACAAGAGTGGACATAGGCGAAGACACTCTTTTGGAGAAGATGAGGTACTAATTCAAATCTGCCTACTATTCTCACTTTAACCCTCCTTTCAACCTGGTTTTTCCACCTTTTTCCCTTATCTTGGAAGTATGGTTTTGTTGCATGGATTTTTTATGTTTCTCATTTCATGCTGATAAAATGGAAATCATACCAGTAAATTCTTCTCTTTTAGTGTCTGGTTTCTGAAATTCTTGGATGTAAGCTGGGGTAAACTAAATATGGTTTTTGTAAGACTATATATTTTGAAGACATGTTCCTCTCTTGAGTGCTGTATTTTAGTGGATTGGCTGCCATCTCACATGAAGCACATGAAATATAGTATTTTCATCTGTAATGGAAAACAAAAAAGGCTTTTATCCTCGCTATAATTTTTTTTTTTTGGATGGATGAATTTCTGGGTTTTCTTTCTTTAGAAAATAGTTGGAATGACCGTTCTCCTTGTTAATTGGTTCATTTCCATTTGTGTTGAAGAGTTTCGGTGGTGAACCAATTGCTTGTAACAAATTCAAAAATTTATTTTCTGAACTTTTCAGAAATTGCTGCTGTTTGAGTTTTAGATCAGCTACTTAGCAGGTCTTGTCATATCGAGTAGAGGGCCTCCAATAAGTGTTTTCCTTATTTTTTAGGCATTTGATAGATGGTTTTTCTTGTGTCATATTGCAAATTATTTACACTTGCAGTTATTTTCTCATCTTGGTTCAGCTTGCTTATCTACCTGATCGCAAACGGGAGTACATTATCGATGATGATGTTGCAAGTGTTGATTCCGAATTATCAGGAGAAAGTCGGTTTGGTTTCAATGGTCATGAGGAGTCTCTAAAATTTGAGAAAAAGAATCGCAAGCGGGGGATGTTTGGTTGGCTCAAAATCAAGGTGAAGGATCTATTTTTGAGAAGGTTTTAAAGTGTTTATCTTTGCAAAGTTGTACTTCAGCAGAATTTGTTTGCACTTTATTTAATTATGGCCTTTTTTGGAGAACCCAGATGAATGTTTTCAATTTCTTGTAAAAAACATAGACTTATAAGCTAATAATTGAATAGGATCGTTTAGAATTATGCCTAAAAAGATGAGGATCATGCACTGCAGTGCATAATGTCATCTATTTCTATGCAGGGAAAACTGAGATAAGTTGTGTGCATGATTTTATATTGAATGCGAGGTTAAGAATCTGTGTGTGTGTGTCTATATATGTATTGAAAAGTAAACAAACTTATTCAGTCAAGTAGACTTTCTTAATTACGAATAAGTTGTGTTCTGATAGAGGATTCAAGGTCTACTACCTATTCTGACGATAGGATTTGTATGGTATGGCGTATATTGACTTCTCCACTCTGTATGGTACATAGCTGTTCATCTAATCCTATACCTTTAGAAATGGACAAACTAAAGGACTTTTTTTCTGAAATCCATCCACTATGTAGTCATAAAATGTGGACCTAAGGCAAAAACGAAAAAAAAATAATGGATGTTTAGTTAAAGTCCATCTATGAATGATCTGACATGACATCTCCATGCAAAATCTTAACACAAAATAGCCATCAAATTTTAGAAGAAAAAAAAGGAGCATGGCCATGAATGGCCTAATTAAGAGATCTGGATTAATATGATTTCCTTTGAAGTGTTCTTAAGATTGCGTACTGTATTTAAATCACTAAGAAAGAAATTGTGATTTGTATGTAGGAAAATTTTGAATTTTAATTGAATGTTTAATTTCTTATGTACTGACTAACTTTTAAATTTTAGATGCTTGTTCTTATAAATATAAATTAAAAAAAATTATTTACATGATATATTTTGTAATGTTCTTTCTCATTGCCACATGCTTAGTAAATAGGTAAACATAGCAATGCTATTGAACGGGTTGATGTTTTGTACCTAATTTATCTAATAAAGTTGTCCAAAAGTTACTCGAGAACTTCACATCTTTATCTGAAATGATGGTTCTGAGCATGCTATGGAGGCGAATTATCTCTCTAAAGTATAAATATGTAATAAGTGAAGCATCTATCGTTTTGTGATTGGGTACAATTGTGTCATCTCTGAAAAGCGATCAACATCCACCATAATTTAATCCTTCATTGAATATGTGGAAGGCACACAAAGAAGTCCAATCTCGGCCAATAGAAATTCTCCTTCGCCAAGAGTCTTACCCCTTTCAAAATTGTTTGGCCATCCCTTCATTTATAACACTTGCAAAATATTATCTCTAAGTGAAATCTTAGGAATGTACAGTCTATTTTGGTAGAAGTACCAATTCAATTTGGAAGTCTATCCTAACAATGAACCTAAATCGTCTGAAAATTTTCATGAGCGGCATACAAATCTTTCAATAGTTCAAAACCAACGCCCTTGGATTGTATTGTAGTGATTAATGAGTGGTGACGACTCAGCGCCTGATACATTTTTCCTACTCTTTGCCTTGTGCTTGAGTACAAAATGGAACAAATAGAGTAATTCCATCCACGAGGCATGTCTATCATTTACCTTACTTTGACTGTTCAAAAATTTCAAAGCTTTGAGGTTAGTGTAGAGAATTCGCATGCAGATCGTGTTTGTAGTGACTGAGAGCTCTTATTACAGCACAAAACATTTTATCATACACAGAATATTTTCTCTAGGATTCATGTAGCTTCTCATTGAAGATGGAAATAAGATGTTCGACGTAGCTCAACACGGCTCTAATTCCCACATTGGAGGCATCAATCTGCACCTTGAACACCTTGTTTGAAGTTTGGAAGGGCTAAAATATGGTTTTGAGTAACATATTTCTTTAAGGCTTGAAAGTTTGATTGCCTTTCATTTAATCATTTGAATTGATTTGACATTGAGAGGCTCTGTCAAGGGCACCAAGATTGAGTTGGAATTCTTGATAAACTTTGAATTTAAAAAGTAAATCCTTGAATCTTACCTACCTGAGTGAATGACTGTGGTTTGGGCTAACACCATAATAGCCTCTGTTCTCACCGGGTCTTCAATGTCATTAGTTGAAATAATATATTCAAGGAAACACATTTACGTTATAAAAAAATGACTTTTTTCGGTGTTCATACAATTACATTGTTTGAAGAACTCCAAAAATCCTTTGTAGATAATGCAGAGCTCCTCTAAATGGATGTACACTCAAATTTCATCGAAGTACACAACTATAAATTTTTTTATAAAGGTATAAAAAGTATTTTAACCTGTCACATGAAAGTGTTCGGTGCTTTGGATAGGCCTCATGGCATTAATATCCATATGTACAATTGATCCTATGACTTGAAAGATATTTTTTGCTCATTCTTTGGTTCCATGTTGATCTGTTCATAACTGTTTCCTAAATCAATAACTGAGAAGGTATTGGCATTGTGTAACGGAATCAATAAGTCGTTCAGTCTCAGAATGGGGAAGACGAGCTATTACTCTCACGAATCAAGTCTCTAGCCATCAAGTGTAACCTCCTTCTGTAAGTATTCGCAGTTGGTTTGGTGTATCCGACAGGTAGGCCTATTTAAAAGAATAGACCTTGAAATGGAAGGTATGACTTGCTATATGTCTATTATTAGTGGCAACTCATGAGGTAGATTTTCAACTAAGACATCCTGAAACTCTCTCAATAGGGGTTACACTATGTCTGGTATTGACTCTTTTGACTCACTACTTCTTAGGATTAATTAGGCTTGTCCTAGTGGTCTTTCTCTCAAAACTTGTAGAAAGGTGGCTCGTGGCACTAGTATCGCAAAATCTGCATGAATGCACATTACCTCAAACTCTTTCCGAGCTAAGAGTTTGGTGAGCTTCTAACCTTTGGTAACAGAATATGCATTCCGATGGTCATGTTGTGCAACAATCATATTGCCAATGATCGCTTGATAAGATGCGACAAACATTCACAGGTAACACATCACACCTCACCTGATCTTGAAAATTATCTTCAATAGACCATTTTAAGAAGCATCTCCTGCCATCTATGATATCATTCCCCCTTTTCAATTAGGAAATAAGACTTTGTATACTTCTTTATGACAATACTCAACTTGTTTACCATTTGGGTAGACGCCTTTTCTTCACAACTACATTTGTCTATGAGACGATTGGACACCTTTTTATTTATGGTTTAATGTGTACGAAAGATGTTATAGTGGAGCCATTGTCGCTCTCGTGTGGGCTCAATCAGAAGGATTTGTCGAACCACTAACGTCTCTGTTGTTTCTGAAGCAGGTACTTTGTTGTATCCTCACCTTCTCTTGTGGTCTTCTATCTTAGTGTCAGAGATCACTTTTTTGTTTGGAAAATCGGACGTTGTGTTAAAAATTGTAGCACTTGAAGTAATTTTTGGTTGGGAAGGATTTGGGAGTGTTGGTTGCCTCACCTTTTCTCTACGTTGTATTGATTTTTTTCTCATGAGGTGCTGCTATAGTGCTCTAATGGGCGCACTCTTGTAGCTTGAGCTTGAGGTTGAGCATTGTCTGTAAGGTGTGATTGTCCATTGGTGATGTTATTTTTTCACCTTTAAAGCTTGCATTTGTACGTCAAATAGGATTCAATTTGGCTATAAAATTATTGATAGAGGGCTTCATTTGTCCAACATATTTCACCATTGTGTAGGGTCGAACATTCGGTCGATTTGGATGGATCGGTTTTAAAATTGACCAAATCGATTAAAACCGAAATCTAGAATCCAGAAAACCAAACCAATTTAAAATTTGATTGAACCAAACCGAAATTTAATTCGGTTTAAATTGTTCTGTTATATTAAAATTTGACAAAGAAGAAGCATTACAAATTACATATTTTTTTAACATAATATAGATTTAATTTCTTGAATCCACTATTTATTTCAATGTATAATTACAAATAATAAAAATTTAATTCTTTAAGTTTATTTGAAATGAAATTAAATCATAATAAAAGGTTTTGATAAAATTTTGGTCATTTTTTTCGGTTGAATGAAAATTAAAACCAAACATAAAATAAAAAACCAAATTTGAAGTTTTAGAAACCAAAAACTGAAATCCAATTTTGAAACCGAACCGAACCGACTAGACTTGATCGGTTCGATTCAATCTTTCTTGTTTAACCAAATAATGCACACCCCTACCATTGTGTGCTCCTCATGTTCCACCAACTCACATTTCAGCATGTGTTGATCATTTGGTCGGGTCGTCCTTGGAAGAATTTTTCAAGTGAAGTTTACAGTTTTAGAAACATGTTCTTCTGATAATACGATGGTAAATATTTGCGATTCATCTTCCATTTTATCTTTAGATACTGTCGTGATCTTATTTTTTAATTCTCACCTTTGAGGGTGCTTCAGTTTCTCTCAACACAAGGAAGTGTTTTTCTTGAATTTGATGGATGCCAAGTTGAGTCTCTTGTCATGGTGTATATTTTTGTAACTAAATTTTTTTTCCATTGTTTGGAGCCGCTCAATGAATTTTTCTAGATTCAAACATCCGTTAAAATTTATCAAGTCGATCTTTACTCAAAAATCAAAGTCTCTTGGATATTTAATGTCAAATATTTGGGGTGTTGATTTTTCATCACTAAAAACTTTTTTTTTGTGGAAGAGATTAACTTTTTTCTATCAATCCGGCGAGTCACTGTTATGACCACCAGTAATCTCTTACGATTGTCTCTTCTCAAAGGTGGCAAGTCTTTGTTATAGTTGGATGATGTTTCTCTACACATCTTTCATTTTAAACTCATTGGTACCTCTTTGCCTTTCTTCTTGACGGTATAATATCCCTTTCTCTCAATTAGGGATTCAACTAACAGAGAGGGGGTGTTTTATGGTTAGGGTTAGGAATGGATGATGAGGTTAGATGAATTAGGTTACGTGAATTTTTAGGTTTATGAAGGGGGAGAAAATAAATTCCTAAAGTTTTAGAGTT